CCAAGGGGACCAGGGGACCAAGGGGACCAGGGGACCAAGGGGACCAGGGGACCAAGGGGACCAGGACGACCATGTGGACCAGGAGCAAGCATACAAGAGACGGGAAAAGAACATAGTTATTTTTTGATTAGTTAATGAATTTGTTTTTGATACACATGCCATGTCTAAACCTCTTGCGTTCAGGTTCCCTAAACATCTAGGAACCAAATCATTAGTGCATGAGCTATCCTGCGTCCAGTTTCTAGTAGCGTCCTGATCGCTATAGGAGCTTATTTCTCCCTCACTCCCTTACTTAATTAAGTAGGCGCCTTCTTAATAAAGTAAAGAGGCAGGGCCACTCGGGCCAAAAAAAAGAACATGGCAAGCGGATCACGTCTTTTGATGACCATTCCAACAAGCAAATGTGTCCGATGGACCGTCAAACCGAATTTCTTGGGCCCCCTGTCAACATCCTGGTGGCAGCTTGATCCGGCACAATCGACACCGCCATGCCCTCCACTGGCTCGGATGAGCCTGGCCTAGGAGATTCGAAGCCAGGCTAAATCATGGTTCGATTCGAGTCGTGTCAGTATGATCAGTATGCGACGAATGATATCGAATGATATGGGCTATATTCATTTGACTACTGCATAGGTTGCACTTGGCTGAACGGTCCAAAAGGATGGCACCATGCTCAGTGGACATCGAACCAGTCGGCCTATGAGTTGGCTCGTTCCATGAGAATTCGGTCTGAGTTTCTCCCAGTTCGGGGCTTTTGGATGCGAAAACCAACGACAAACATGCGATCAAGCCGCTGGTATCGACAGGTTCTACCTGCACAATGCTGGTAGTCCCCAACACCTTGGCTGAAGCATCTGTGAAGGCTGGCAATCCGAAAGTCCGCCAGTCCATGGTATTCAGTCGAAACTAGCCTGACATGGTATAATAAGAAACTGTTTCCCAGCACGAAGGGAGATCCGACTGTGGCAACTCTTCATGGATGTGTCTCAAATGTTGATCACCATGAACCAATGGTCTTAATCTAATCTGTCTACTAGTGTTACATACTTTTCTCAGGTGACGCATGGGCCACACACACACACACTTATAATATGATATATATATATATAATATGTACAAACATGCTACATCTCAAAATGAGGCCCCCCATGTATACGCTGTTTGATCTACTCTCTTGCGAGAACAATCTTTGATATCCTTAGGGCTTCATCTCTGTTTTTTGTGTCACAGCTGTCTCCACTTCATGTCTTCACTAGGCTCGCCCGAGTCCCATGCTCATCGGATCGCCCACCAAGACCACCGCATCGATGTTGTCCAAATGGATCCCCCGAATCGCCTGTTCGGTCGACGGTCGACGGTGTCCGCTCAACAGCGGTATTGGGTTGATGTGGTTTCCTCGGGTTTTCCTTGTCGGTTTCTTCTACAAAGCTCAACAGCTTCGGAGCTCGGGTACTACTAACTAAATTCTAATTTATATATTGTTTCTACTAGCTTCTCGTTACTACTAGTAAGGCACTTGTTACTAGAAGCGATGCACTTGTTCCTAGTAGCGAACCTTGTTCCCATGATCTTCAGAACTCGGCCATTTCTGCAGAAACTCTTGAACACCGTCTCTGATCGTTTGAACGTTCGTCGAACACCCTCTTCTGTGCTTCGAAGCGTGGTGTGGCGCTCGTCAAAGCCTCACAACTGGCAATGATCACCTGGCAGCGGTCTTCCTCCACTTGTTGCCTCCTCTGTTCCGCTCCTGGCAGGCACCGCCGAAGGGAATTTCTGGACCTGGAAAAGGTGAGACGGACCGGGGAGCAGGTGGCATGTCACTGCTTACAACAACATCTTACATAGCAATGTAGCAATATCATGGCAGAAGGATTTGCCTTGACTTCAGCCGTATAAAGAGCACTAAAGAACATGAGGCATTTAAACAGTGGAGGATTGATTCAAGCGTCAAAGATTAACATTTGACTCCCAAGCAGTAGGTTCCAAGACAATAACTTCTGATGAACAAAGGCGAAGTCAACAAGGCCCCTTTCATGACCTTAAAGGAGGCCTCACCGACTCACCTGGGCCGACCCAAACCACGCTTGCTTCGGTGCCTTCAGCCGACCAAAGCTTGGCTGCATCGTCAATGGCTTCGTTGCATGTGACGACCTCAAACCTGGTCGTCAATGAGCAAACAGAAACACCGACAGACAGACAATATCACTGTAGCAGCTTGGCATTTGGGCTAGGAGGATACTCACCTTCCAGGAATAATGCTTTTTATCCTGTGATGTTGACATTCCTAGAGGAAAAATAAACAACAAACTGCATTCAGGTAGAAGTGTCCTACCTGAATGCGGTCTTTTGTCTAAAGAGCAGATTCTGGAATATTCTTGGCACAATGGAGTCCCCATAGGTTGTGGAAATGTGTGTAATTGCGTTTGCCTGCCAAACTCCTCCAAGCGGAAGTTGAGCTCACCTAGGAAACAACTGCAAAAAAGGTCACAGCGGCACAAACGACCTAATTGACGCCGCCGTTATCAGTGGTATTTAGCAATCTATGGAACCTATTGATTGGGTCCCTCATCGCTCCGTGCTGTGCTTGCACCGTCGGTGATGGACTTTGCCGAGGCACCCAAGACCAGGTTCAGCCCGTACATGCCTGCTCCGAATGAGAACGACAGCAAAAGGAGTCTGTACTGTGACAGCCATTCCACATTCTTCGCACCAAAGTCAACACCTTTCACCCCTGGTGAACACAGTGAACCCAAAATCAATGGCCCCTGTTTCAGACTCGTGCCATTATCAATCATCACCTGCTGAGTCCAACAGACCTGAACCGGTGGGTCATCTAGTTCCTTGCAAATCCAAATCTTCCACAATGACAAGCAAAGTGACATAGGCATCCATAGGCCGTCGGGTGAAAGAACAGCTGTCCAAGTCTACTCGTGACAGCCATGTTTCGCTGACGCGGAGTCGAACCCAGCTCTGACGGTCGCAGTCTCGTTGCCAAGTGGCTTTTTGGGGTTCGCCCCCCTTCTGGAGTTGTTGCCAGGACCTCATGACTTTGGGCGTTCAAAATGGTTGGCCCGGCGAGGCCTGCACTGTTTCATCGATTTCTAGAGTCGAAGGTCTTTGGAATTTCCTGCGGCTACAATTCGTGGCACTTGTTTCTACTAGCTTCTTGTTACTACTAGTAAGGCACTTGTTACTACTAGCGTGGCACTTGTTTCTACTACAAAAAGATGAGATTCCTGCAAATTGCACACAAATGCCATTCATGCCACTGTAGCTGCACTGTAGCTACCGAGAACCCTGTGTACTTCCAGCGAGCGAGGACACCATTGGACTTGAGGGTCAGACAACAAGAACTCGCTTTGCAGCCAGCTCAAAAATCGTCTGCGCAGTCACTGCCATGACCTGTTGCATGCATGAAGCCAATCATGATGCCTGTGAAAGGTTCTGGGCCACTCTGTGTATAACGAGACACATCTCATCACCTTCACTGCGCCCGACCAACGCAGAACGTCGAATCGCTGAACTGCCGTCCGATCGTTGTCATCCACGATCGCCTTGGGGAACCGGAAGGGCTTGGGCACTCGTACCCGATGGCCTCAGACGGGCTGGACGCTTAGATGATCAGGTGGAGCGCAAGATCCACAAGGGTTTGGGCGGTAATACCAAAGATATACCCTGCAGGGTCCAGGTTTTTTCCAAAGGGTGAGTGAAAGTATTGCATTTCCCCTCCACGAGCATACTACTCCTTCCAGAATCAGAAGCACAGCCAGTTTGCTTTTGACCTCAAAAACGTTCCGCAGCTGCAAATGCCTTAAATTAAATGCTGTAAGCATAATTCCATTTCATGTTGTAAGATCAAGAGGTGAAAGAAATAATAGATGAATAAGAGATAAAATTCCATCAATATAACATATCTCTTACCAACACCAATAAAATATATGAATGATGGACATTTTGCAGAGCTAATACTTTGAAGCGACAAAGGTACCATTTCCTCAACTTTCCACCAACCGGTCCTGGTGGACTGGTGGCCTGGTCGGAGGCCCGGTCGGGTGCTGTTGGAACACAACGTCGCGAAAGAGTCATCACTTGAGTGGCCAACGCAGCCCTTCAGGCCAATTGGTGGTGCCATCCCGATACCTTGAGTCCAAGATCCCCGTTCGGCGAAGGAACACACGAACAGCTAAGCAGCATTTGGCAACTATAGAACACTCAGTGCATCTTTTACATCATTCTGAATGAGGAATCATGCTGCCATGCTTTAAATGCAAACATTGAACATTCTCCAGGCTGGACTGTTGGCTTGTTGTTTTGTGTGCAAACCGGTGGCAGCTTGCTCACCTTGCGACGAAGGGTGTAAGGGGGAAGTCTTGCGATCACTTCATCTGAGCACCGGGCTGTCCCAGATTGGGCTTCTCTGGTGCCTGGCAGGGAAGGATTCCATAGACTCAAGTTGCGTTGATTGCTCGGTTTCGGGGCTTGGTTGCATTTTCTCTTTGTCAAGGTTCTTTGGAGGTCTTCCTATTTCATCCTATTTCAACACTCTCAGTAAATACAATATGCTCTTGCCCGTGAAGAGCTATCTTGCAAGAACATGCAAGAACTACCAAAGAAATGCAATCGAAGCCTATGCCAACAACCGAGAGAATCCCTGCAGCCGTATTATTTTGATACCCTGTTGATCACCTCCAATTCGCGTTCGCCCCCTTGCTTGGCCTGCCAGTGGATGCTACCAGGCACACGGATCAGGGTCAAGTCTATGCCAGCACCTAGGATCGTTCGGTCCAATGGGTCGGTAGATCGAGACCCAAGGTGTTTACCCGTTCGGTCGTTCGCAGGGAGCTCTCGGGGAAACGAATGAGCGGAGCAGCGAACAGTCTCACTGAACTCAAAGTGAACTCGTCTACTTCTCTGAAGCTACGCAGAGCATAGCCTGAGAGACACATGATGCCACGAACGGTTGGAACGTAGCCTGGAAACTTTCATGCGCTTTCATGCACCATCTCTGTGAAGGGCAAGCAATTGAGCCACCTGAGCTGGCGTGACTTAGGGTCCCACTGAACAAGAACAGGATGCGCCAATCCCAATCCGCCGATCCTGGGTTCCGAGCTAAACTTCAAGTTGCGGTGACTCCGGCGGCCCATGGTGGCCTCAAATGCAGTTGCCAAAAGCTACATCTGTTAAACATCTCCATCCTGGCGCCTATAAACTTTGAATTGAATAGCACCCTTTGGTTCAAAAGAGCACCGATTTATTCAAAAAATGTCATCTAAGGGCCTAACTTTGGGTTCTTACAGGAAAGAAGATGAATAGAATCTTCCCAGGTTGGTTGGACTCCTGCCACTGGCTTCTGGATCGTCCAAAACCACTTCCATGAGTCATGAATTTTTTGGGGCTGCGGCACTGGCAGCCACGAGCTGCCAATCGTCGCGACGTCCAGCCTCAATAGTAGCTACCATTAGCATGTTACCTTTGCTCAGTGGACATGTGTGGACACTGGCCATCCCGGAGTGGATATGATATGGGCTTTAGCTCCCACTCCCAGTGCAAACAACCACCCAATTCCGGTTTTGGGTTTAACGAAAAATGAGAAAGGATGAGAAAGGAAGGTGAATCAGAGAATGTACGGAAACCCTTTTCCAAAGAAAACCCATCCGTCCTGAGGACGAAACTTTTGTGGTTTCGTACTCGATCACCTTCAGGACTGTCACAGCTGGATCCTCCTGGGCCAAGACCGACGGTTCGGATGGTGGATTTACCGCAGAAGTTTGCAGGTCAACATTTTTTGCTGCTGGTGTCTGCAACCAGACCACGCAAATTCAAACACACAACGTGTCACGTGTCACGGAAACAGCTTCCCCTTTCCTCACAGGTGCTCCGAAGACCCTGCCCACCCCCAAGGTTTCCAGGTTTTCAACTTTCAGCTGCTTTTCACAAAATCAAGAATCACAAAAGATTGCGCAGTAAGATGGTTGTAGGAAGAGGAGGTTCTCAGGTTCCTTTGTCCAAGTATGGCCCGTATGTAAAAGGAGGCTTTGGACAAATGGATGTAAACTCTATATACGGTCATGAGTCATCAGTGTATGTGTGCTGTTCTTTCCAATTCAGACAGCCAGCAGGCATCAACACGTGGAGCCACATTTCTCACCAACGTAGAGACCACTTCTCATCACCAAGATGTGTACACACTGGATTCACGACTCTAAAGGCGCTCATTTTCATCCGGTTTCATGTCTTCTGGTGTTTCGTGACGGGACCCTACACAACTTTGCCCTTCTTGGGTGTCTTGCTGGAGATGATCGATACACTGGCCGGCATCAGATTGGAGCCTTTCGGCTTCCACTTCAATGCGCGTAGCAAGAGCAAGGCTCAACGCATGGCGCAGCATTGCATCCAACCGGTTTCTGGTTTCTGAGGGTTTCAAAGAACTTGCAATAATACAGAGGCAATGGATTCTCAAATCTGCAAGCTTCACTCGAAGGCTTGTGGGCGGTTGGGAGGATCGAATTGCAAAGGCGCGGCTCGAATGTCCAACGCCCATCAAGAGGAGCCTGGCCTTCCACAGCCAGCGTGAAACACATCTGCGAACTTGCAGGCGTCCACTGTCCACTGCATCAGGACTACTTGATGCGCTGGCGGCAGAGGCTCAGAAAGCGCAGCCGACAGCTCAGACAGAACTGAACCAACGAGGACAGACAAGAAAATCAATGAAATAGTGATTTGGTCGAAGTAGAACAAGTACAAAGGGTCTATATACAAGCTGGGTAGGGTGCTACCGGACCATGCAAGCGCAAAGAACAGCTGGGGTGTTGGAGTCTTTTTGTTATATATTCCCCTTCACAACGGCCAGGAAAGCCAAGACATCGCCAACACCATCAACGAGTGGGGAAATGTTCCGGCTTCCTCTTCAGCCACGTGAGCGCATTCCGTATCAGGTGCGTCCACTGCATCCACACCTTCCGGCTCAAAAAGGCGATCTGCACAAAGGAGAGGAAAAAGTGCTGTGTCTCGATGAGCAGCGATTGCAACTGCCTCGCGCAAAGAAACAAACATACATGCATACATAATACATACATACATTCCGAAAGCAAAGCACAAGGCTGGACAGCAAACATCCTTGCCGTGGAAGTACTGGTACCGCTCACAAGGGGAGCAATGAGCGACAAGGGCGACCAAAGCAGGGACTCTCTGCTTTCCCATCTCTTCCCACCGAACAATGTCAAACGCTGATTGCACTTCCTTCCAGCAGCATGTAGCTCTGGGGACAGGAGGCCAGCGGATCGGTTTTTCAAGCCTAAGCAGCGGGGCCTTGAATCAGTTCTAGCCATCCGCGCTCAATGAATCAAAGTTGGTCACAGTGCCCAGCAGGTCCTTGTAAACTAGCCTTGACGGTGGCCGGGGTAACTAACGGCCCGCGCAATCCCAAAAAAGAAGACTCGGTACCTTTTGAACTTGGAAGATCAAGTTGATCCTGGCAAGGAGGTTGTGGAGAGGTTGCTCGGGCAACTGCAATTTGCTTGAACGCTTTTGAGTGAGGTCCCACCAGTCAAGTAAAGAACGCCAAAGAAGCGTACAGTGAAGTCGCGCTCTCCCCAAACATTCAACCTTCAAACTTTCTGGATCGGAAGAAGGTGGGCCTCGTACAAAGCTGCGGTGGTGACCAGCGCCCAGCCATATAGACTTCTGTGCCGAAGCACCACTGAAAAGCAAGCGTCCGTTTCGGCCGACATCCGTCCAGCGAGGTTGTGCGTGAAGTTGTTGAGTTTCTAGCTGATGTTTACTGTAACTTTCTTTCAGAAGCGAGCTGATGAGCCAAACAATTTTTCTGTTTTGTGGATTTGGTCCTTTCTTCAAAAGATTGCTGTTGAGCTCGAGCCAGCCAGCCTGGCCAAAACAAGATCCAACCACATGAGGGAGGCAGTTTATTTTTACAGCAAACATATAGAAAAGGCAAGGCCTGCCACAACCACGCTAAATCCAGAGTCCCTATGGGCCATTTGTGAGGAGCTGTTCACATTCTGAGTTTGTCCCTGTGTGACCTACATGACTCTGAGTATGCTTGGAGCAACCACGTTCCTTCTTCCTCCCCACATCCGAGCTCCTTCTGGGCTTTGTATCTCTGTCTTCTTTGGTGCCTCACAGCCAGGATAAGGTTGATTATGACCAGATTGTCAGAAACCATGAAAGCTAGAGTGAGTATCGGCTCTGTTCTGGAAATTAAACGCAGCAAGGACACACCTAAATGCCAGCTTGGTGGCAGGGTTTTGCCCGCAGGGGCACAGTATGTCTATGCGAGCCGATAGTTGGGTGCCTCTGTCTACCTACATCACTCAAACAACTGCATCAGTAGTGGACGATGCACACTGAAATCTCTAGCGGCCAATAGAAGCGTGGTTCATTGGGCATCAGTCGTGGTTCATTGTGGCCAGTCAGTCCATCAGTCCTCCGAATCCCTCCATCTGCTCCGAGTCCCAAACATATTCCATTTGTTCACCAAACGATCAGCTTCGTCCACGACCTCAAGACCAGAAAGGAACGAAAACCCTCCAGCTCCTATAGCCAAGAAGTGATAGACTTGCCTCTGATTTGGTGGCCGCTGTAGTTTTTCATCTGCGTGCTTCTCTGCAGACATCTGCACTAGTTACATAGCTCTCTGAGCTCTCTCTGTGGCCCTTGGAAACAGGAGAAGAATGTAATCTAAGATGGGACCTGCATGGAGCGGTGCCTTTGATTCCTAGTAGCTTGGAGGCCGGCGCTGGAGGGCCCTGCCCAAGCTGAGACACCCCAGCCACCATCTCCAAAGCGCCCATGGAACGCCTCCAGGCAGCCTGAGTCCTGAGCAAACCGATGGAGGTCATTGTGGTTTGTCCCTGCCCTGATTTGCATCTCCATGCGTGTGGGGAAGTCCCAACAGGTCCCAACACACCCTTCTCGGGTAAGCTGCCAACATGCCGCATCGAGTGCCTGCTCGGTCTTTGCCAACATGCCCTTATTGACAGGAGTTCAAACATATACACAGTATGCACCAGCAGCTTAGCAGCCTCTCAACAAGAAAAGGAACATAGGCTGGCAATGGGCCCAAATTCACCCTGAGACTTTCAATGTGCTCCCAGTCCTCTAAGGGGTCATTCTCCCTTCTTACTTGCTCTATTGCCCAGCCCCGCCATGTTCTATCTCGTTGCTCAAAACAATCTGAATTGTTCGTGTTGCAGGAATTCCGGGAGTTCTGGCAGTGGTGTCTCCAGCAATTCCTTGATCTGTCGTGGTGTGGCCACGACCTGGCGATGACAACGCGGGCTCGGGGTTAGCCCAAGTCAATGAAAATGAGCTGATCGACCTGTCAAAAAGAACACGTTTGAAATTTGGATCTGCAGGTATCTGCTTGCTTCTTTGATTGTTGTTTTGTTTGGCTCAGTGGACACGTCTTGAAAGTACTGCTGCACTACTCTGGAATCGCAGGCAAATGCAATGTTTCCAATGCAGCCAGGCAAGCAATGTTGCTGGGAATGGAGGTGTTGCTCGCATTTCTCCGCATCACATAAACCTGAGTCCAATCTGCAGCAAAGGGTCACCCTGCCTTCGCCAAACTTGCAGCGCAGGTCTTCTTGCCCCACAAACAGAATCAAGTGAACCTTGTGAATGATTGACCAACGACTAACCGAACATATTATGGCTGCATGAGCCAACAACAACCCCCAAAAACACATTGTGCAGTTCAGCTCCCTGCAAAAGGACGTGAATGGGGATTTCTTGGGTCACTTGTGAGAAAGCCTTCATATGCTCATGGTGATTTTCCAGTGACTGACACATTCAGACACACACACAAAAAAAACAAGAAAGAGACACCAAAAAACAGCACCCCTGCTATCTTGCAATCCTTGCCGTCAAGATGCGTTTTCCGCAAGCCCGCGCCCCAGCAAAGCACGGGCCAAAGCCTTGGACAGCTGGCCAGAGCTCGATCGAATTCACTGCAGTTTGCAGCAGGTTTTTTCCAACACCACTGATGTTCATCGACCTCTTAGCAAGATAACCGTTGGTTTGGCCTAAGCCAAATGGGCCTTGCTTTAAGTAGGGTGAATCCTCTCGTTCCGGGATGCTTCGGGGCCGTCTCGACGAAGAGCGAGCTTTTCACGTCAAGTGAGAACAATGAGAACAACTCACAGCGAGAACAGCGTGGGCGAGGTCGGCGTTTGGTTTCGTGACACTTTTCATCGCGTGGGTGTTTTGGTCGTGTCTCACAGCTGCGCTTCTGCTTCGCACAGCTGCGAAGAAGAACGACATCACACCCCTTTCGCCACTGATGAGAGCACGGAAAGAGTTGACGAATCAGCGAAATTGCCGAATCAAATCACTTCCCTACACGTCTTGACAAAATTAATCACGCAATGGTTTATCATCATGTCATCACACCGCAAACAAATAAATAGAAAACAAATCAAATCAGTTCGTACCCACTTCGGCCAAACCTACCTAGCTATGGCTAAGTGTTGCTCTCGCCGTGCTTATTTACTTACTTCTTGTTTAAAACACATGTTTCAGGTGTTTTCTTTTTCCATCATTCTCCACATTTTCTTGGAATATTTCAACTAGTGCCCCCTAAGTGGTTGGATCATGTTGGATCAACTTGGAGGAATATTTCAAGCACCCTTTCAAACCGAAAAAAAATCAGAAGGTCTCCATAGGTCTCCATGGTGATGGAGGCCGTCGCTGGTAGGTTGGAGGCCATTGCTAGTCGGTTGGAGGCTGTTGCTTCTAGATTGGAGGCCATTGCTTGGGGCGAAAAGCAGAAAGTCTCCACGGGTCTCCCTCTTCACACACCCATCTCTTCCTTTCATGGGCCCAGGCTCGAATGCCTTCGAACATGAGAACAACATGTCCATCGTTTTATTCTTCACCCGCTCCCAACTATGATTGGACCTCATAATCAAGACTGGGGTTCAGTGAATAGCTTCAGCTCGTGCCTGATCAGGTTCATTTGATTCAGCAAAAGACTTCCTATAGCTTTGGGATGTGTCACAAATGCGCCCGCCCAGGCCGCCTTCACTCGCCATCTGAGCTCACCCACGGCCGTCTGTGTTTGGAGTGCCTCAGACTAAACTTAACCCAGCTTCTGCTTCAATGGTAGAAGCAGCCATGCACATGCAACACACATGCAATGCTCAACGTACTGGGATTAAGTCATGGTACATGCAATGACCTCTGTCATCTTCGATCTCTTGCTCTCCGTCCCTGTTGGGAACTGGCATCCATTTTCGAGAACATGTGGTGAACTGCGCAGGCAAAGGCTGTTTTATATTGGTCTTAGGGTCTTAGGAAACAAAACGCTCCGTGGAGAGACTTGGAGAGACAGCAATGAGCCGAGGTGCGGCTGTTGGCACCAAAATCAGGAAGCGCAGCCCTCTGGCCGGCGACGCACTCGCCTCTCATTTGAGCACAAAGAAAACAGGATTGTTTCATCAAGCTTTGGGAGAGCCAAGCCCTGCTGTATGATGGTTGCGGTTTTCTGATGCTCAGTTGAATGGGACAAAAAACACCATCACTTTAGACGGCTTTGAGAGTCCTCACTTGCAGGGCCCTGGAGGGCATGGCTTCACATTCGAAGCTGCAGCAAAACTCCATCAACAAACTACATGTCTGAACAACCCCCGACGCAGCAGGGCTGTGATGGGCGCGATTCGATCCCCCCGGTGCACTGATGGGCGCTGTGAGAACCCCGGTTGCACAGCACAAGTGCCACAGCTCCTTTTGTTTAGATGATGTCAGCCACGATTCATAGCACAAAAGCATTAAATCACTTCCCTGGTCAAGTTCCTTGCTACACTTTGGATCTTGTCACCAGTTACAGAAGTAAGTGGTAGTTGAGCTTCAAAACCCATGTCGAGCATCTGATCTAGCCTATCCAAGACCAAGTAGTGATGAGATGATGGGAGTGGTGACCAAACACTGCTGGCTGTTTGCAAACTGTAGGACACAGCATCAAACACACCCGCAGAATCCCGCAGAGGCCGGCCAAATCGAGCGCTCTCGCTGCAAATCTGCTGCCACAGCTCACAAGTTGGAACCATCACCAGCATGTCAGGGCCACGACTACGACTGAGTCCGTTGCTGTTGCCTGCTGCGCGTAAGGGTTTGATGCAGCCAGGCAGCCCAGAGTCAGGAGAATTGCTTCTCAGATGAGGACATGGATGCTTCCACAGGTTGCGATGATGCATTTCATATGAGGAGCCGGTCCAGCAGCTGATAGCATGCCAAAGACATGTTGGCCAACAGTTCCACCCTGGAGACAAGTTGAACTATTTTTGAGGATGAAGAGGAGATGGAGTCTGAGGAGGTTAGAGGAGATAGAGCCTAAGGAGGAGATTGAGGAGAAAATGTACTATCACCAACTCGAGGAGATGGAGCCTGAGGAGATTGAGGCTTTTGTGCACCTCCGCCCAAAGTCCGTTTCCGATTGACCAGCAATCTCACATTCGAGAGAGCCTTAGGGGGCGATCAGGAGAAGGCGCCGAGTTCGGCGGCTTGAAGCCGATGGTGCTAATCCAACTGTGTGGGGATTCCAGTGGAGAGAATGAAACAGAGCGATCTGCTGTTTCTTGGGCCAAAGAGCTGGACTCAGTGGACGAAAAAGGAACCACTTGGATCGGATCAACTACTCAGGCGAGAGTTGCCCCCAAACCAACCAACCAAGCCTCAAGCATGGCCGTTTTTGCAGTGCCAGCTAGTTGTATGCCTGCTTAGGCCAAGGCGCCCACCATGGCGCTCGGATGTTCTTGGAGCAGCTGGATATGGTTTCTTTGGTTCGTGGCTCCAAAATTACGTCCAATATCCCAAGAGTTTGTGCTGCAAAGCAGCAGTGGATGCAATGCAGTTTGAGGAGAATGCCTCCCAACGAGTGGAGCTTCTGGAAAAAACGAAAAAGAAACATAATCTTGCGGTGCAATTGCATCTTCAGGAGAAGCGTCTTGCAAACGAGAAGTTTCAGATCTGTGATTTGATATGATTGACAAGATGCAATGCTTGCCTCTTGAATCTTCTGGTTTCTGCATTGACCAAAAATCAATTCAACAAAGGGAGCGACCCACGACATTGCAGCTCATTCATTGCTTGTGGCAGAATGCGTTCCTTCCATTCCTTCCGACCCGAGGGCTTCTCCTATGACAGAACATATGCAACGTGAAATAGTATCCGCACTGTCAATGTGCATGTCATCATGTATAGTTATTTACTATCACCGGGACAAACCGTGCATCTCAACTCTGAGCTTTTCACACCCTCGCCAAATTTTCTATGTTTCTCAATTTCATTCTGACTGGGAAAACCCAAGGATTTTCCAAGAAAGTAGGTTTTTGAGTAGTCCAAGCTGAAGAAGACTCCTTCTGAAGCAGATCCACTCGCTACCTGGTTCCTATTGTTCTTGTTGTCTCCCTCCGACGACGCACAACTGTTGTTGCGCTCCGCTGAGTGTCGGAGATGGATGTTGGACGAGTGGGAGAGGGGTTTTGGTGGAGAAGGGCGCGTTCGCGCGTTCCCATGTCTGTCTTTCAGTCACGGCTTGCGCGTCGTGGCTTTTGCTCTAGCTGTCAGCATAATACCCGGTATTGGTGGAGGTGCTGGATGTTGTGAATGCTGTTCTTGGACACTGCTGGATGCTGGGCAACCGAGAAGTAGTGAAGCAAAACAGCGGCACAGCAAGAAGCAAAAAAGGAAGAAGCAGTCCAGCAAACAAACGGTTAGATCCAATAAGCACGTCAAAGAAACAGCCAGCTACAAGTGATTTGATCATCTTTCTTCCTTCCCTCCTCCAGCTTCCTCATCTGCCTTCCTTCCTTTGTAACTTCGTTCATTCCTTCGTTCCTTGCTTCCTTCGCTCCTTCCGTCCTGCCTTTGAGAGCCATCTCATTTGCTGAGCTCATCTCATTTCGGCATCGAGCCCAACTGCTGAGCGATCAAACACCCTACAGTACCAAAGGGGCACCATGCCTGACCGTTGAACTCGCAATCGTGCCGTTGAACGTGCTTGTTACCGCTTGGGGCGCCACGAAAGAACGATCTAACAGCATGTCTGCAATGCTGCGAATGCTCCGGGGCCGTTGCTGCAATGCTGGCAAAGGCTAGCTAAAAATTGCGCATCTAAGATTAGCAGTCATTTTCAGTTTACTCTTTACTCTGAACATTTCTTGACGTGCGACAACCCTAGAGCCAGTCACGCCTCCTCCCTCAATCGCTGCAGCATTGGCAGCAAAAAACATAAAGTTTTGCCAGTTCCTGTTGGAGCTTGAATGCAGCACGACCTTAATCACTGTGATTGAATGACAACCATATTCTCTACACATCTTCCCAGAAAAAGGGAAGACTCGCTTGTGATATGCGAATGTCCGAAACTGAGGACAGCGCTCTCCGCTGTATATTCTCTCCATGGCAATGTCTTGTATTGGCGAAGGCTCAAACCTGAGCGAACGATGTGGAAATGGAGGCCATCGTTATTAAAAGGTTGGAGGCCATTGCTTTGTTTGTCCAACTCTCTTGGAACCCTATCGATGCTGTCGATCAGTGGAGGGTAAGAGTGGTACGTTCCAGACATGGCCTGCTGCGATCTCAGCCACCTGTCATTTCTTGAGCAAATGGGCACACTGCCTCACGGTGTGGATAAAAGCAAAGCCAAGAAGCCAGCCAGGACATAAAGGTGCAAACAACTCTTGAGCTCAACATGACTTGACAGTAATTATCTGAAGCAGAATAGTCTATGCAACTTCATGAGTGGTTTGCGTGCGTAGAGTACATTTTTTGAAGTAGCCCCTGGCTTGTCAATGATTCAACAAGATACCAAAGAAGAAATAAGAAGAACATCACTCTTCCTCTAACAATGGCCTTCCCACCAAATAGATATAGACACAGGATGTGGGCAGTGTCATTTGCCCTGTCGGATGGCCGTCTGGGCAGTCTGGGCCGACCTACTGCGTACAGGCCACGCACCACGGCCACCCACCGAAGAAGCGACGTGTCCAACGTGGCGGTGGTGCTTCACAGCCTCTCCTGTCACTGGGACGCCTCCCCAAAGGAAGACCTCTTCTTGGCCTCGAAGCAAGCAGCTGGTACGGTACGTACCATGTGGCAATGAGCTGCATTCGATGGACATGACGCCTTTTGTGGATTAGACGACGACAACATACTATAACTATCTATAACTAGAGGTTTGAGAAGTGTGGGCTCCCCGTTGGGATGGTGAACTGGGACCTATCCCTTTCTGTATTAGACTCACATGCGTCTTTGACCAAAGCGGTCACACTGTGTTCACACATGACACATGACTCACATGACCAGAATATGTTCCTCTTATGGGTTCGTTCGGTACTCCAAAAACCATGACCCTCCGGACAACCACCGCCCGCCCGAAAGAACGGCCGTTGTTCAACGGCCTGGGCTCGGTCTGGGTCGACTGGGCCTCGGAACATCCACCAAAAAGGGGGGGAGAGGTTCCACATCACTGGGCCTCAATGAGCCAAAGGGTGTCGAACCGGAGAGAGTCTGAATTGAGCTTTATGACCACCTGGCAAACCCTGGCTGGCTCGGTCTATTTTGCCAAATTTTGAGGGGAGTCGAACAGGTCGAACAGGTCTCCCTATTTCAACACACCCCCATGGTGTATTGAAAATAAGACGCCCGCCCCGCCCGCCCCTGCCAGAAGATGTTGGTCCGATGTTCCCTAACCTACAGGGTGCCGTGGTGTGGCTGGTGGTTCTCCATAAGAAGACACACATCCATGTGCAGCTACTTGGTTGGAAGCTAGTTAGAGAATCACATGAACAAGCAACATATCAACATCTTCCTGACAAATGCAACAACTTGTCGTGTAGGTTGCCTCTCTACCCGACTTCTGTGTTGCGCATGTTTAACACAAGGAGAAAGGGTCTGTGTTGTCTACCCACAGTGCCCCCCTTAAGCAAATTTCTGGAAGTGGACCATCCCCTGTTTGGTCTGAACATGGTCTTTCCATTCCGGGTCCAGAGGCCCTTTTCCACTTCCAATCGGCCAGTCGTCCGTCTCAACCCGTCTCGGTCTCGGACTGAGATCGACCCGACCTTCGCCGCACGGACGTTGCCTCGCACGCGGCACGCGAGGAAGGAACGAGACCGACTGGGGGGATCATTGGAAGCTTCCAAACTAGTAACATCTCATAACATCTCATAACTAGATTTGGGATCCAAGTGCATCCAAGTGGGCTCGCTTGCGCAACTTGCCTCCCCAACATCTGATCTTCCAGAAGAAGGCTGGGATTTTTCCCAAGAACTGCAACGAGTGGGAACAACGCCAAGCAGGTAGTTAGTCATCATGCGGCACCCCTGCAAGGGCAACCCATTTGATCTTTCTCTAATGATCCAATTTTGGGCGTCCAACTTTGCAATGTTTAATCTTGTGTTTCTCATTTCTTCTGAGTCCTGAGGAACTGCACTGTGGCGGTTGCTGCAGCTGCTAAAGACAGGGGCGATGGTTGCCCCAGCGCCTTCGCAGCCTCAAAAATGGTCGCTCCACAGGGGGGTCGCTTCACTACCCAGTTCCGGACATGCCATGAATTTGCTTGCATTAACACCATCATATTTCTTCATACTCATCCAAGCAAGCGTCTGCTAGGAGACTGGTGGCACATGCCAAGTGGCCACATCAAACTGTATCATGCAGGCTTTTCAGCCCTCTCACATGCGGGATGGCATGAACATGTTGAATCTTGATACACCTTCCTTTGCCGAGGCATCACTAGGCGTCCTACACCACGGGCTTTGCAGCGCGAGATCCAGGAGATTGAGTTTGTAGGGAATGATGAATGGCTTTGCAGTGGCGTTGAAGGCCAAACGATGTACCCTAAATTTCACATGAACACAATTAATTGAACACATTGACAATTTTGGTGCCAATGTCGTTTTTTGATGTCCAAAGGCTCTCAAAATTGACGCCCCGTTCGCAGTGGTCAGGCTTTTCCGCAGTGCTCTCGATGACAAGGCTGCAGGCGGCCGCAGGCCCTGCAGGTCGACGAGTAAACTCCTCTGCCTCTTGAGGTGTTCAACACGTTGGTTTCACTGGAGCCGGCTTGGTGATCAAGAGCACCCAAGCTGGCAGTGAAGGTGCTTTTGCGAGCAACTTGCCACGTCTCAAATTATATATATAACTAATGTTCAATCTCTTCCAAACAGCAGCAGCAGCAGGTGCGGCCCGCATGCGAGCGCCAAAGGGATGCCAATTTCTTGACGCAAATGCTTGATCTTGAACAATTGAGCCATTTCCTTTTTTGATCTTTTTTGTAAGGGTAAAGTGCCTATTCACTGCTGGGTTGCCTATGCTGGGGTTTCGCTGCGTGGTCAGAATTTGTGGGAAGGGAGGCTTTGCGAGGCTTCGCACAACACCAAAGGCTCGCGAATTGGTTTCGCAACCTTTAACACACTCTAAGTTAGCCTTCGCGAATTGGCTTCGCCTGTGTGAAATCCAAGGGCCTACGCCAAAGGCGAGCCTTCGCCACACATAATGTATCACACAAATGCTTTCGCAAACATTTGGTGAGCTACAGTCTAATCTAAATTTTATAATTCAATCAAACACCGCTACTCAATTGTTCCTCATACTGTATTGAACAGCAAGGCACCTAACTGAACTCATACAGCATCACCAAACAAAGCAACAACAATTTCATCACATCAAACGATTTCAAAAGGCGCACATAGAAGTGGACCAGGGCGGATTTTATCCAGCCTGCCACTAACATGAATAATCATGGCAAAAAGGAGCTTCCATTTACAATACATGTTTAAGGCAAAGAGAACTGTAGCTGAAGTATGCTGAAGTTATCTGACTGCAGTTCATTGTGGAAGTGACACAACTGTTCGAAGCTGAAACCCGAGGCCACCCGCAAAGCTAGGTGGACCATCTGCAAAGAGCTGACCTCCCAGCCGCCAAGGCATGTATCATGTAATAAAGGGGTCTCACAAGTGCCACTCTAACATTTGAGAGGCAAGCTCCAAAAGAGCTATAGATCTATTCTGCATTGCTTGCATATCTTCCGTTTGCATCTTGCATCTCTCCCATCATGCCTGTGGGCAACTGCCTTTGCCCGATGGTCCCTGCCAATCAAGCACACTGGGATGTGTTCCACCTATTATAACATATGTGTACATACATATATATATATATATGTGTATGTATATATATTATAAATAAATACTTGACTTGATCAATCGCGCGGAATAGTCTTATTCAGAGGCTTGACATCGAACCGCTTCGAAGGCAGACCGTCTATCAAGGGAGAAAGGACATCAAAAAAGAAAGCAAGTCAATCAACGTGAGGCCCTGATTTGATGCCTCTATTTCGCTCCTGCAAAAAAAGGTACACTTTCCTGTTTCCTGTCACTCTGTAACCGGCAAGCTCTCAGTCCCTCGGACCGTGCCTCGGGGGATTTCTGACCAAACCGCCGTCGAAGCCGCGGCTGCGCGCCAGGCAGTGCCTGGCGGCACAGACCTCAGGAGGGACGCCATAGCTTCTTGTTACGTTCGTAGTAAGAATACTCCGTTCGTAGCGATGCCAGGAGCCCCGTTTGTAGCTTCTTGTTTGGACGTCGACACCCATTTAGGACCGCCTTTTGACGCTAAGACTGGGACGCCATGTTACGCCCAACGCCCGGCGTCGACCAGGAGCCGAGACTGCGACCAGGAGCCGAGACTGCGGTCGCAGCTGGCTCTACTCCAAACGCTGCGCGAACCGGTTTAGTTTAGCTGCTTAGCTTGTGGAAAATAAACTTCGACCAGTTCCAAAGGGGTGATGTTCTCGACACATTACTCTTCAGTCCGACTTTCAAGTACTTGTCATTGAGGAGATGGGTGATGACCCAAGCTTCTCGTTCAAGCTCCTTTCATCTCCTTTCCATGTCTTGCAGCACAGCGAAAATCCCTAGTTTCCAACCAAACCACACATGCCCTGCTGGATCAATATAAAGAAAGAGCCTTTCGCATATTTTCCGCATGGGCCCAGCTCCACCTAGAACTCCAAGTACTAATCCGGGAAAGACGGGCATGGGAAACAGCCATCAGTTTACTCTCAGTGCCAACTCAACCACTCAGATGATCCCATTGCACTTTGCATCTCTTTGCCAGTAAGACGCCTCCTGACAGATTGATGGCGTTTCTGCATGTTTGCACAACGCCATCTCCAACCGGTCGGTTTATTGCTGCGGTCATTTTGGTCATTCTGCCTTCAACGGGCGAGTCGCTTCCCAAAGCCAATTCTGCGCCTCACTGTGCAAAGAGCTTCTCAGCTCTTCCCAAACACGAGCGTGATAGCTGTCAATCCACTGCTGCTCCGACACAGACAATAAGGACACATCCACCAGCTTCCGACACATCGGAACCAATGTCAAGTACTCAAACTTCAAGAAGCGACGTGTGGACATCTTGTACGGAGTTTCTGCCTTGCATGTCAAGATATCAGATTCAATCCGGACACCAAACTCTCCGTCTTTGTAGCAACCAGGCTCATCTGAGAGGAAGAATCCAGCTTGGATGGGCATTAAGAACAACCGCCTTCGGCGCGGATTTTCTTGGATCCTGTCTCCAGGAACACAGCCGCCACCAATTTGCGCAGGTCCTTCATGCACATTTAGATAGGCTCCAATGCCATGCCCTGTACCATGGCCGTACTCCAACCCATCCTTCCACAGGGGCCCCCTAGCAAAGGCATCTAACAAGAGCCCCGGGGTGCCCTCTGGAAACACAGCACTTGCCAATGCAATGTGACCTTGCAGGACTCTGGTGTAGATGCGTTTCTGCTCCTGTGTGGGACATCCAAAATGCATGGTACGTGTGACATCTGTCGTTCCGTCCTTGTAGTGTCCACCCGTATCGATCAAATACATCACCATCTTTGAAAGAGACTTGCAAGTGTCTCTTTCTGGTTGGTAGTGCACCACTGCAGAGTTGGAACCAACGGATGAGATCGTCTGAAAACTATCACCCACATAGAAGGGCTCCCTCTGTCGGAGCTCTTTCATCATGTCGCCAACATCCACCTCTGTGATTGGCACTTGCTCACTTTCCGAAAGGGACAACTTTGCCTCCAAACTGGCAAAAAGCTCGCAAAGTGCCAGCGAGTCTCTTTTACATGCTTGCTTCAAAGCCTCAATTTCCACTGAATTCTTGCAGGCCTTAAATTTTTCAACTGGGGAAATCCCTGTGACTCTGAGGTCATGTCTAACCAAACTCATCAAGGCCAAGGAGGAGGAGGATGGATCCAGAAAAACCTTCTCCTCTGGCTTCAGTAGGGTCGCAATCTCTGTAAAGAATTGCTTGTAAGGCTTTACCTCTACATTAGCCCCTTTTAGGTGGTGAAGCACTTCATCCGGAAGGCCATCAGTTGCATCCAAGCACCGAAGAAATAGTATGGCGGTGTCTTGAAACACTGCGGCATAGGCAAAAAACACTGGATTGTATTCAATGTCTGAGCCTCTCAGATTGAAGAGCCATGCTATTTGATCCAATGCGCTAAGTAAAATGACACTAGCTCCTTCGGCACTGATTGCTTCTCGTAGCCGTTTCAGCTTGCTCTCGATTGTCTCACCCGCTAGGTTCAAGGGATGTACTTGGACAGCATTGCAAGGATCTTCTGGACGAGTTGTCCAAATAGCATCCACCAAGTTGGTGCCTATTTCCTTCAACTGAACAGATGAACCCCACTTTGATGTCCAGTCCTCTGAGGTCTCTGCTGAAATGAAACGAGGATCTACTCCAACACATTTACCCTTGAGGTGCTCAAGGGCCCAGTCAGAGAACTCTGGTACGCCAGGCTGAAACTGACGCATCCTTGCTGTTCCATCCGAAGCGGGAAAGTAGTTAACCCTATACCGCCTCTATTCCTTTCAACTTAAATGACTAGGAACTTGAACTCAAAGCAAGAATTCTGCCTAACAAAGATGAGAATCAGCACCCATTCGGTTCCTGCCAGCTGCTTTTCTGCTTGCAGGAAATAACGGCTGTCTGTCCAAAGGAGCGCTTTCTCAGCAGTGACCAGCGCGCTGCCTGCACTGCCTGAGAATCCCGTCAAGAAGCTTCTCCGTTCGTCTGCGGAACAAACATATTCTGAAGCATGCGCATCCTGCAAGGTTTACTGCTTCTCGCTGCTTTCAGTCACAGGAAAGGCCTTGTGTCGAAGCAATATGACCCAGCATGGGTATGTCCCCATAAACACCAAGCGGAAGGGAACATGCTACACATGTGGAATTTTGTTTAAAGCTGTCTCAAAACTCCTTTCTTGTGACCAAAATGCCATCATTCCATCCTCATCCCCAATCCGTCCAGTCCGTCCTCACTGGTCACGAAGTATGCATCCAATTGATGGATCTTCATCAACTCCCGCAGTGCTTCCAGTCGCCATTCCGCTGGCCGTTCCGCACCTGGTTCCCGCCAGACGCTGAACGGTCCGGTCGCACGGGTGTTTACCACGGTCGCACGGTGACATGGAGGAAACGGGAACACCTCAGTATCCCTTCGCATTTGGTGTGGAGACAGCATTTCGCAAGCTGGCATGGCATCCCCCGTGTTCGGGGTGGACCTAAAAACAGGATGCTTCGGGGCTTGATCCCCTCGAAAGCAACGACCGCACATCCCTTGACGAACTGGGTCGGAAAGGGCTAAAGTCCCAAACCAAACTTGGGAACTGGGTCCGAAAGCCAAGGAACTCTCCAAACTCGGTGCCGACCTGGGCCGTGACTCGGTGTAGACTCGGTGTAGACGCTTCGCGACACAGGTGGCAAAGGGCGGACCGGATCAAAGCGGCGTGAAAGGCATGAGGGATGCAAGGACTGTACACCAATATACTAGATCCAATAGAATACTCCTATATCATATCCAATATCCTTATATATAATCACTTCTGGATGAACATTATTGTGTGCGATATCCCAAATACTGAATATGTCTGAACATATATGAATATACTACTCCTCAGAAGCAGAGCTAGACTTTGTGCACAAGTGGCACAGTTCTAAGTACCATAAGTGTCCGGCACAGCTCGGCCTCTTCTTCGGCCTTGAACTGCAGCCTCAGCTCCCGTCGCAGATTACTCAATCAAAAATTTTGGTTGAACAAGATATTGAAAGGGTTTGGTTCAAACAAACCATCAAGCCAAAAGAATCATCTGAAGTTCTTGGTGTTTTCGCTTTGTACGAGCAGTGTTCCCTTTTGGGGCAAGCACCTGCTCGTGCACAGGACATCGAAGCTGGACGTATCCTCTTTCGGCACCACATGACAGCATCATAGGTGTTACATGGTGTTACAGTAGCTAAAATGTTTCGGTTGAACACTCTGACACGTGGTCAGGGATCCAAAAAATGAATCAAAACATGTTTAGACGATCAAACAGAACATTAGATAACAAGGATCACAAAAGTCTCCTTGAACTTCTGGTAGGACAGAACCCTGGGGCTCCCAACAATGGGGCGTAAGGTTTGTTGGACATTTCACCCTAGGGCGGGCCCACAAAAGGGGTCAAGTCTTACAGGAGCTCGCTTGATGTACATAATCGTGCATAATTGAGTGGAAGGTAATGGCTTCCACTTCCACCCTGCTCGAAATTAAACCCGCACTCGACCCACAAAAGGGCGCATGAGGTTGAAACAATTCCTGCCGCCCTAGATGTTGCCCTGGAATGGCCCAAAACAGGGTGTGTAACGTTTGTAATAACTTTTCCCTATTGGGTGGGCCGCTATCGAAAGGTATGCGAGATCTGAAAGGCTCCGGCCAGCAGGGGAACGAGTATGGTTTATGTTTGGAATGGTTTGTTCCCGCTCTAACTTTTACCCTTGGTTGGCGCACAAACGGATGTGTAAGGCTGGGATAGCTCATGCTAGCTCATGTAAGACCCTCACATGGTCCAGAGCTGGCTGTGTATGGTGTCTTGTAAATTTTACCCTGGGGAGATACCACAACAGAATTTGCCAGGTCTGTTCCACATTCTATCTTCATCATGCAAACCACAGGACATGTAGGAAACCAAAGAAAAAAACAAACAAAACCATTGATATATATAACTTTGCAAATCTTGTGGCAAAGCCGGGGCTAAGGATGGCATGTACTGGCGCGGGAAGGGGCCTCCCCTCCATGAGCACACGGAGCCTGCTTTTCCGGTTGCTTTGAAAAGAGTGAGGACAGTGTGACCCGAACGGACCGCAGCAATACGAACACATCAAACATGTTGAGGAGCACTGTGGTGATGTGATGTGTGATCGGTGATGACGCTTGTGATGTTGATGGTGAGGATGTTGATGTTGTTGTTGTTGGTGATGGTGATGATGATGTGAGAACGTAGGTGTCTGCATCATGACGATCTCAAAATCATAGGTAAGACACACAGGGCCAGTGAAGCCATCGCTGACACCAGCGGTTCTTAAAGCCCAGGGACACAGCTTCGGCTCGACAAAAGGGTAAGGTCTGACCCTCGAGGTCTGACAAGAGAGGTTCGTTCTTGCTCTCAATTTGGCCATCAGTTGGCCCACAAAAGGGTAAAGGTGGGCGGCCTCATTCCACACTCGGTCCTGAACGGAAAAGAGGGTGTGGGCCTCATCCTTGCATCTGTCCTTTGTCGCATGGAACCTGCATGGGATTCAGTTGAAAAGCTCCTCACTGTTCCCTTGTGCTTACTCCATCGAGCATCCATCACAAGCATCCAAGAACACCAAAGTAAGAAGGGCACCAAGGGGGCAGGGGAGGAAGGGATCACAAACGACCAAGGAGACCAAGGACCAAGGGGACTAAGGGGACCAAGGGACAAGGGGGACCAGGGGGATCAAGGGACGAGGGGACTTGGGAACCAATCATGTGTTTTTGATACCGATCATGTTTGATATTTTTTGATACTTATACTGTATACTGCATAATATATTAACATATATGATTCGTTTGCTGCTTGTCTGCTCTCGGATGCTTATCTTGCGACTGTTGGTTCGCCTACACCTTAATCTTCGGGTGTCTACCACATTCCTGAGAGCAGGACTGCAGCTGCCATAGACAAAGTGGATCCGCGCAATGCCTGAGCGAGTCTCGACAGGTCTCTCCTCGTGCAACACTCTGTGGCACTGCGCAGAGAAGCAGCTCAACATGAATCAACCAGGAGATCAGCGGTGATATGGTGATATGATGATCATCAGCTGCCCAGGTGGTCTTAGGTCTGGTCCAGGACTGTGAGACAACACGACAAGACCAAAGCACGTCACCATACGTCACCACTGACTACGTCTTGGAGATTTGATGAAGGAAGGGAGACTGTTCAGACTCCAGCCCCGAAGCGGGGCCCATCAGTGCCCTTTCCGGGCAAGCTTTTCCGGCCTGGGGCACTCACGATCAGTGGCTCCTTCAGGACTCTATAAGAACATATAAGACAAGAACTTCATGAGAACTTCTCCCAGGAGAAGCGAAGCTTGTTTTGCCCCCGAAAACACTGAGGCCTACCAAATCGCGTGGAGGTCTGTGGGGTGTGACGGCACATCTTAGAAGACTCAAACATACTCAAACCATCACAAAACCCAACCAGTGATCATCTCATCTGGATAGAGAAACTTCTACACCCGTGGTATCCACCCGTGGTAACCCCTCTGAGATCAGCGGCCACGATTTCTGGCACCAGCCATCGGCCTGTCTTAGCTACAAGTGGCGCTTATGAAACTAGCAGAAACAATGCAAGCGATTTGAACAGGCAGGCGCATATGGTATGAGTCATACCTCTGTTCTATTCGGGCTAAGCTTGCTTGGGGGAAACCACTACTGAATGAAACGGTCCTCAGTAAATTGAAACCGGCTACTGAGTATGAGCCCCTCACACGAAGAAGGCTACGAGGCTACTCCCCTGAGCGGCTTACACCAAGCTGATTGCAATAACTAAAGTTCTTTCCTGCAGCACCTGGACATATACTGTTTTGGACCTCGTTCCACGACTCGACCCTCCAGTGTCCCGGCCTGGGGGTTTTCGGGACGACCAAGTCGTCGTTTTCGGGGCGACCAGGGCGGTCGATCTTGCAAGTTGTCTCCATGGCTCCACAAACCTCAGAGTGACATCACAAGCGGCGCTTCTTTTTTTTTTGTGAATCTGTGAATGGGCATTTCCCATCACAACGGACGTTTCTGAGTTTTTTTCGTGAGACACCGGAAATGTGACGACGCGCAAGCACTTTTGGGGTAAAGTATAATAGATTAAAATAGTATAGGTCCCATCCGTTTTGACCGTCTATCTATATAACACGTTCCATACTCACCAAAAAAGGCTTGATGGCTGATCTGGGGCAAGGACGCCATGGCAAGGACGAAGCAAATGCTTCGTAAGAATCTTCTTTGAGCCCAAATGGAAAGCTCCAGGGACCAAGAGCTAGCTACACTTGATGAGTTGTGAATCTCCACTGCATGTGAGACATGCTGTTCTTCGGAGCTCTACTCGACACTTCCCTCATCGAAGGCCCGCGCTTTTTTGGACACACAGCGGGACCAACGACTGGGAGCGGTAGAGGTCGTCCTCTGAGCGGCACCGCAGTTCGCCATAGAAATCATAGAAACAGCGGCAGGTTCGCCAGTATTTCGCTTGTCTTTCCCGGCATCATCCTGCGTCCGCCTCCAAAGAGTCCCCAAATCATAGTTATATCATCCAAATCGCTCGAAGCATGGTGCATCGAAAGTCGCTCACAAAGATTTTCACATGCCAGCGTTCAAGCGCACCCGGCATCAGTTGGTTTTCCTTGAGTGAAATTTAAAATCGTCCAAGGTGAGGTCGGGCATTCTGCTCAAGTCTTGCTTACCTCCCTTGAACGACTCAAACTTCACCCGCTGCTCAATCAAGCCAGAGATGAACTCCTTGTAGAACATGCATGGATTGCGGCTGCCGTCCAAGGGCTTTTTAAAGGCAACTCATGTCTCCGTGGATCTCCGTGGCTCATTTCATAGCCCACATTTGCCCACATGGCACATTCCTTCTAAGTCCTTCTAAGAGTATCATGTTCGATCACCTCGCACCTCCACGATCTCAGGATCGAAGGATCTCGGATCTCAGAGTGGCCGGACTCATCGATGGTCGTGATCCTGTGCGTAGTAGTGCCCACCCCATGAGTCAGTCTTGCCCTCAAAGGTAGGAAGAAAACGGTCCCTGGTTCCTTGACGATCCTTCTTTTCAGCATGATTTTCGCCAAAAAGTAGGATCAGATCGACTGGATGTCGGTCAAAGGCTCTCTGCCGTCGCACGTGCGATGTGGTCACTGCGTGGGTAGTCCGCAGAATCACCGCACGGTTTTCTTCACAAGGAATCTCTTCACCCATGTGTGGGACGAGTGGGATGTCATGGGAGCTTAGAAAATCGTCTAAGGTTGAAGAAGGGGCAGGTCCCACCCGCGCGTAAAGACTGCTGCAATGGTTATCTGTGGTCTTCCGAAGATCGCTGATGGTCACTGAGCTGCCAGCTGTATCGCCCAGCCACATCATCACAGCGAGAAAACCGTCCAAACAGTGTGGAGCTAGACCCTGGCTGCGTGGACCGTGGCGATATGCGATGAGGTCCAACAAGGCTTGTTGTCCCAAGAGTCGAGGGAGAAGTTCTTGGAGTTCCTGCACCAGTCGGAGGCCGGGCTCTCCATGAAGTCCATCACGTAGCTGGGCTTTCATCATTTTCCCCTCCTGAGAGGCAAACCGAGAGGCTCTCTTTAAAGATGATGTGAAGATTGGTGATGACGAAAGATATGAAAGGGCCAAAAAATGAACAAAGTGTTGATTTTCTTTTGTTGTTATTTTTCTAAATCCATCTAAAACCCATTCTCAACTCTCTGCTTGATCGTAAAACACTTCTGCAGAATGTCCTGCAGTGATTGAAACCAAACAGTGGACACGCTCAGCCAGCGGTGGACCTCATCATGAAAAAGCGAAGACTTGTCCGGTTGAAATATATCATTAGATATAAACATCACAACCTTAACATATTATTCGCTATGTATTAAGACAACAAAGTTAATATAATTATATATATATAGTCTATAGCCTATATAATATATACTTAAACATCGAAACCTTGACACATCAAATTGCACCTGGAACCTGTGGCCCTAAAGGGGGTGGTGCAAACCCTCCACTACAAACAGTGGACCCATTCCAGAATAAACACATCAGAGCTTAGGGAGATAGTTGTGAACATCGTTTGGGCATGTTGCGTCATCACTTTAAGATCTGACAAATGAGTACCCAAATCTCTAGTGATGTTTTGATCTGGGCACCAAACCCGCAGAATTACTGGTTGCTATTTCATGTTGCTTCTTATTGTTCTTTCATTGCCAATGCTTTCAGTTCATGTTCTTCATGGATGCCACATTTCAGTCGAAGGATTCAACTCGATCTAAGCATTTGCCATGCCGCCAATCGCAAAGCCTTCTCTGTCAACACTCCGTCCAAGATGGCCACTCCTCATCCCACCCCGGTGCTATGAAACGACCCCACCCCGTCGCTGTTGAAAGCGAAAGCGCAGTGAAGACTGTGAAGACTCACCCAACCAACAAATAATCGGACCAGTCCTTTCTGGCGAAGCGCGGCTTCAGCACCTGCCAGGCAGAGCAATCGATAAACAAAACACATCTCGGGATTCAGTGTTTATCCACATGAGATCCAAAGTTGATGCAAGAAGAGCTTCCCTTGCAACAACCAATTTGGTTTGGAAACACAGGTCGGGTCCACCACCATGTGAGAAGTAAGGAGGCCCACATGCGAATCTCGAGTTAACCGAGGGGAGGATCGCCCTGTACTGGCAGTGTTGAATCAATAACTCTGAACATTTTAGAACTGAACTTTCTAGAAATACTGTTTCTGCGTGCTTCATACGGTTCTTTTGTTGTTTGTTATTTATGTGCACAAAGTCCTTGACTCTTTCGTCTTCACGAAGCTAGCACAACAGTTTTTGTGTCTATCGAGTGAGCTTGTCGGGAATGCTCTGCTCGGTGAAGCTTGGATCCACCGAAGAGACCGGAAGACTGTGTGTTGCTCTTGGGTCTGATATGGTCTGACTGCAGCGGTTTACGGAGTGAGCGCCAATAGAGATTCCTTTGGACCATGGATCCATTCCTCATTCCTTATTGAGCACCAGGGAGTCAACCAAAGCCATTATCAATCATCACCATGCTCACGTCGGGGATCTCGCAGCGGCATGCAGCGCCCACAGCCACTATATGAATTGAAACACAAGTTTCAACGTTCATGACATGTTGGGTCTATCCTATTACCTGTAACAGTGGAATACAGTGGATGATGAGTAAAGGCCTTGTTCAAACATGACCATTGTTTACTGACTGTTACAGGATGTTACAGGTATATAATAGGACAGACATGGACAGACCCAAACCCAGCCCGCCAAACGATGCCAATCGCGGGTGACGGTCTCCAGGAACGGTCGGTCGTCGTCTGGGGTCCCTTCGTTTGCGAAGTCCTGTGATCGCCATGGCCTGCCCAATCCAAGTCTTGCGTGAAGAGGCCGCCTGGTCTTTGTTGAGCAAGGTCCTGGTCGCAATTGGAAGGACTGCTCCACGCAAGAGTTGTGCCAAGGGCGAACTGCTCCACGCAGTTAGAAAGGGTTTTCTCAAAAGAAAACCGAGACAAAGACGCATGCAAACTTGTTGCGTTCATCCTCTAAGACCAAATTGATCCTCAATGTACACCTCAAACCGATTCTCACAATGTGACTTGATTCGTATGGTTTGCGTCCACCCTGAAACGCTGCATGGTGGACAGCTCGAGTCTCTGTCCATGGAGTCTCAGCATCGACATGAGTCGACTGTCGGGCTGTGGACGTTCAATGAGTGCTGGACATGACGCTAACTGAAACACAACAAACAAACTCACACCTATGCACAGAAAGAGGTCGCAGAAAATAACACCAACAACTACGAACAAAGGACAGCTCAGTATTCCCACTCTCTTCAACTGTCCGCATTCATGACACTTCTTCGCACTGGACGTGGGGCGTTGTGTAAACAATCCAAACATGAAGAGGTTGGTGTATGAGTCTGTATGAGTGTAGTGGTCTTGATTTGGAAATGTTTGGATTTTTTCAAAGAATTCTGCTCGGCCATCTTATATAGGTTCTTCCAATCCCGCTCCGGCACATGCAGCGCCCGGTTGAAGTATGGGCGAACCTGGTGACATTGTTGACGCTGACACCGGCCAATGCAGGCTTCAGTTTCAACATGACAATGAGAACCTTCAACCAATCAACAAACAGATCATTCAACCAATAAATGTCTTCATGAGTTATAGACATACCCTGGAGAGTGTGGAAGAATTGAAAACACAGCTTGAGTTTGATTTGGGTCGAGGCTAGCCTAGCTGAACTGCCCGGTCTGGACCTCTTGAAACTGCAGCTGCACTTGTTCACGAGAAAGTGCAGCTTCTTGAAACCTCATAGACATGGGGGAGAGGGAGTGGGAGAGGGAGGGAGAAGGGGAGAGGGGAACAGCGGAAAGGGAGGGAGGACGAGAAGGCAAAGGAGAAGGAGCAACGAGGAGAAAGGAACTTAGTTTCTTTGGGCTTGGCTGAGTTGTCTTATCTTTAGGATCTCTTTGGGCTTGGATGGGAGTTTCACTTCTTGAGGGTCTTCTTTGTGGTGGGCTTCTGTGGGCTTCGGGTTTGATGGCATCTTACCCTCAGGTGACTCACAGAAGGTATGCTACGTTGGAATGGCCCCTTCCTCATCGAAGTTTTACCTGCGGATGGACCACAAATAGTATGGTACATCCTGCTCCAAATCTACGGTTGGGTGGCTCACGGCTCGGCTATGTTGGAATGGTTCCTTCCTCCTCCAAATTTTTACCCATGCAGGTATGCTACGAGTACATCGGAATGGCCCCTGGCTCACAAACAGTCGGCTGCGTTGGAACAGCTCCTGCCTCCTCTAGAGTTCACCCTCGGATGTCTCACAAAAGGTATGCTACATTGGAACGGCCCCTT